TTTAAGAAAATTGACTTTTTAGTATCACTTTATGGTTTTGAGTGAAATGATGATAAGAATATTAAGTTTCTTTTTATTATAATTTTCTTGCTTCACTTTCATGTTTTCAACCAAACACGTTGAACAAGGATAAAAATCAATATCACTAATAACAAATGTAACGCAGTAACATGCTCCATCAAAATGCTAATCTTGTTTATAATTTTTTTTTCATTTCCCTCTAAAATTATGGTGTATTATTACTCATATTTAAACATTGATAAAATTTTTTTTCTTCTTACACTCTAATTAAAAGTATTATTAAAAAAATACATATGCATGCTCATTTTGACCAAACACGGATTGAATAAGACCTACCACTTTTTGCCTTATTTTTTTACTTTTTTTATTTTATATATTTAATGAACCTTTTTTTTCTTTTTCTTTTATATTTAATAAATATATTTTAGATATATATATTTTTTATTTTTTTAAGGCCACAGCCACATGTCAAGATATTTTTTCTTTTTTTTTGCTCTTTCTTTCTTTTTGTCTTATTTATTTTTTCCTTTTTTAATATTTAAAATTATTTTTTAAACATTTTATTTTTTTGTGTTGGGTCCATTCGATATTATCGATTAAAAATATATTTTTAAATTAGATAATTTTGTAGGAAAATAATATTAACGGAAGTGTCAACGTGGCATCTGAATTTGGGTTTTTTCACTCTTTTTATTTTTTGTTTTTTTTTTTAAATTTATTCATGTTATAAATTTTACAAAAAAACTCATAATGTCAAATGTCGCGTGGCAACTCAACTTTTTTTTTTTTGCTTTTCATTTTTTCATTTTCCGTTTTTTAGTTTTTTTCTTTTTTTAATTATACTATTAAAAAATGAATATGTCTACATGGCACCATTTTTGCTTTTTTTGTTCTTTCATTTTTTTAATTACATAAATATTGTAATAAAATAAAATCAGTAACTAATTTAAAAAAAAAATGCCAATAGAGCTATGGATAATAAAATAACCTATATCCGATGGGTTTCAATTCTTCTGAATATAATAAGTTCATTTTTTTAATTTTGAATCGGATTGAGTTTTTTGAAAACAAGGTTAGGTCGAATGCATTTTTTAGGTGTTTTACCTGTCAGGAATATATAAATATATTTATTTAATTTTACATTTATATATTATATTAATAAAATAAATATTTAATACCTTAATTTAATAAATTCAAATAGCATCCTCGTTTGGTTTCCTTCCCTTTTCTTTCTTTTTTTTTATCATTTCCCTTTTTTTTAGTTTGTTTATTATCATTTTAATTAGATAAATTTTGTAAAAAGTAAGTCAATAGATGTAGGGATGACAAAACAACAAATATTCCTTTGGTTTTCATTTTTTCCTATTAATGTATGTCAATTTTTAAAAGATCTGATATCCAATCAGGATTTTCCTTTTTTAAAATTGCAATTAGGTCGAAAGTAGATTTAGGATGTTTTATCTTACACCTAGTATATATATATATATAATTATATTTTTAATTATTTATTTAATTTTATATTTATATATGTGTATTATATAAATAAAATTATTATTTAATATTTTAATTTAATTAATATACTATACTTATTGATAATTAAAATGTGATCTATCTATCCTTTTATTATATAAAATTTTATTCATTTTGACTTTTGTTTAACTCTCACTTAAAGTGTCCACATGCCATTTTATGTTTATTTTCTTTTTTTGCTTTTTTAAAAAAAATTTGAGTTTTTAATTTATTTTATCTAGATACATTTTGGAAAAAAAATTAAGGTGTCCACATGGCAGCCTAATATGTTATTTCCTTTTGTTTTTTTTTTTATTTTTATTTAGTTAAAATTTGCACCAAAATTTGCTAATAGATAGGGATGATAAAATAATTTGTATTCGATGGGTTTTGATCAAATCAAATCCAATAGAGAGGTAATTTTTTTAAAATTGGGATTGATTTGGGGCAAATTTAATTTTTTAAAGAGAAACGAAGTCGAGTGGATGACATATTAATAATGCTTTACCCTACTTCACAAAAATGGGTATATATAAAAGTATACATTTTAATATCCAAAATATAGATTTTGTATTTTTTTTTTGTCTTCATGTGTTGCCCCTTTTAACTCACACTTTTCTTTTTTTCTTCGCTCCATATTTAATAAATACTTTTTTTAGATTTATGATGAGATTAATTTGATATTATTGACTAAAATATTTTCTTTGTAATTATTTTCTTTTTTAAATTAAATAAATTTAAAAAAAATATGTAGAATGAAATATCCAAATGGCATCTGAATCTCATTTCCTTTTTACCGTTTCATTTTTTTGTTTTTTAAAATTTTTTTAGTTTTTTTTAAATAAAAAATGTAACTAAAGGGACCAATGTAATTGTCCACATTATATAAATTTTATTCATTTTGACTTTTGTTTAACTCTCACTTAAAGTGTCCACATGGCATTTTATTTTTATTTTTTGCTTTTTTAAAAAACTTTTGGAGTTTTTAATTTATTTTATTTAGATACATTTTGAAAAAAAAAAATTAAGGCGTCCAGATGGCACCCCAATATGTTATTTCCTTTTGTTTTTGTTTTTTTTTTTTTTTTTATTTAGTTAAAATTTACACCAAAATTTGCTAATAGATAGGGATGATGAAATAATTTGTATTCGATGAATTTCGATCAAACCAAATCCAATAGAGAGGTAATTTTTTTTAAATTGAGATTGATTTGGGGCAAATTTAATTTTTTAAAGAGAAACAAAGTCGAGTGGATGACATATTAATAATGCTTTACCATACCTCACAAAAATGGGTATATATAAAAGTATACATTTTAATATCCAAAATATATGTGTTGCCCTTTTAACTCACACTTTTATTTTTTTCTTCATTCCATATTTAATAAATACTTTTTTTAGATTTATGATGGGATTAATTTGATATTATTGACTAAAAATATTTTTTTTTGTAATTTTTTTCTTTTTTAAATTAAATAAATTTTAAAAAATATGTAGAATGAAATATCCAAATGGCATCTGAATTTCATTTCTTTTTTGCCGTTTCATTTTTTTAGTTTTTTTAAATAAAAAAATTTAACTAAAGGGACCCATGTAATTGTCCATATTAGATTTTATTTTGATTCTTTTTTTTTTCTTGGGTTTTTTTACCTTTTAGCATGTTTTTTAATTTTAATATAAATCTTGCACATCCATTCCATATAATAAATTCATCTATGCATCTATTGTTACATTAAATGTTGCAAGATTGTAAAAGCTATCGAATGTCCATGTGACACCTCCGTTGACTCATTTTTTTATTTTTTTTTCTACTTTTTCCCTTTTTTGTTTTTTAATTAGATAAATTTTATAAGAAAATAACAATGAGCTAGTTGCTATGGATGGCAATCATACTCAATGAGTTTTGATTTATCCCAATTTGATATGGGCATTTTTTTTTTGTAAAAAATCGATCTAGAGTTGAGTCGAAGTCATTGTCTTTTTAGGAAAGTAGAGATGGGTTTGAAGTGAATTTAGAATGCTCTACTTAAGCAACACCATAGTATATATAAAGTATATATTTTATTATCTATTTAATTTTATATTTATATATGTATTATATTAATAAAATTATTATTTGATGCCTTAATATATGATATTAATATTTTAAGCTCAATTTGGATATACACATAACACCTTAATTATCTTTATTTATTTACTTTTTATTTTTCCAATTTTTGCTAATAAAGTTATTATTTAATTTTTTAATTTAAGATATTAACATTTCAAACTCAATTGAGATATCCAAAAGTATTCCAATAAGCTCTTTTTTTTTTTTTCATATTTTCATTTTCATTTTTTATTTGTTATGCATTTTTAATTAAATTAATTTTGTTAAAAAATCTAATAAAGTGTCCACATTGTACTTTCATTTGATTTTTTTATTTTTTATATTTTTAATCAGATAAATTTTATAACAAAAGATATCAATTGATAGAAATACAAAACAATTCATATATGACAGGTTTTTATCCATTCCTATTCGATAGGAGTAATTTTTTTATATTTACAATATATAAATTTATAACTGAACATTAAAACATTATTATTTATAATTACTTTTATTTAACTTTCTATATTTTTTCTACTTCAATAGTCATTAATCTTATTAAAAAATATACTTTCTTTTATTCATCAAATTTATAATAATTTTTTATACGAACAAAAAAAAAAATTGAACTCATAACAAACTGCAACCCAATTTCTAGTAATAATAGTAATGATAGTAATGATATAAAAGAAGTTTAATAAAAAAAAGTGGATGAAATGAAAAAAAATTATATTTGTATTTCTTCTCAATTTTTTGTTTTTCTTTTCATTTTGAACAAAATATTATGTTAAGTAATTTTCTTAAAAATTTATATACAATTGATTAAATAATTTAATTTTTACAAAATTAAAAAAATTGGCTTTCACAAAGTTGAAGTAAAAAATTAAATATATTAAAAAATAAAATAAAATAATAAATACTACATTTTGATATACCAAATATATGCCTAGAATGAAAAAATAGTGATTATAAAAATAAAAATTGTATTTTTTAAAAGTAATTATGCAATAAAATAGAATTTTTCTACAGCATATGCAATAAAGTTGTGAATAAAAATTTATAATTATCTTAAATTTTATATTATTCATAATATTTTATTTTTAATATTTACATAAATTGATGTCACTCTTATTATCAAATTCAAACAAACATGATTATAATAGGATAGAAGATGAGTTCATGAAATAATACTAAATTAGGAGGTCAAAAATTTAAAAAAATTTGAGATCATAAACACGTAGGTTGACTGACTAGCTGATGATGAGCCATCGACGAAGTATACCCAACAAGACTTATAATTCAAACAACCAGTGAAAAAGCGCCACGTTTCGTACAGACATGGACTTGAGCGACAGAGAAAGAAACGCAAAACGGAAGTTGAAATTCGAATGTTTTTTTTTCTTCTAAAATCAAATCTCTTCTTTATTACAAAAACTGAAAGAGCGCTTCTCTTTGGACACGAACATTTCTCTCTTCAGTTTTTCTGTCTGTCCGATCCGACTCGCTATTCTAACTCGTTCTCTCTCCAATTGGCTTACTTCTCCAACTCAATTATTGAGCTGTAGTTTTCTTTAAACGCCGTCGTTTTTAGTAGGCTAGGGTTTACTCCTTGAAGCGCAAGTTGAGATTTGTTTATCGGATTCTTAAGGTTCGATGTTTTGAAGTTCTTCTGAATGGCGATTCGGTAAATTAAGCGGAATGGAGCCCATTTTTTGGATTACGGAGTTTTGGGAGGGTTTCAAAGGTTGTCTGATGGATGGGGAGTAATTAGGGTTTTTTTTTTTGTTTCTATTGATTTTTAGGTATATTTCGGACTTAATTTGTTCATTTCGATAGCTATAAGTGTAAACTTTAAGGGGAATTTGAAACTTAGGGTTTTTCACGCACTCTGTGTGTTTGTTCAATTTGTAGTGAAAAGTTAAAGTCGCTTGTTTCCGGGTTTATTTTTGAAAGAGAAGCAGAATTTTTAAGCTGAAATAATAGGGCTTTGTTTCATTTAGAAGTGAGGAAGTTGTATGAAAAAATAGGGATTGTATTGGTAGAGAAATGTTTTATTCACAGTTTATTTTGGCAAAGAAAGGTCCGTTGGGGACGATATGGATAGCAGCTCATCTGGAGAGAAAACTCCGAAAGAATCAGGTGGCCGATACCGACATTGGTGTCTCTGTTGGTTAGTATCATTTTACTTGTTAGCTTGGAATCCCTGAATTTAAATTTCAAATCTCTCTATCCCTGTGCACTTGTATTAATTTATTCTTTTCCACTTAATGGTTTAATGTCTGAACCTTCTTAAGGTTAGTTTACTTCAGACTGTGTGGATATACCTACTTTCTTTTGCCTTATCATTGTAATACTTATTATGAGATAATTTATAGAAGCTCATTGCATCCTCATTTTCATTCCTTGTCATGGCCTTTTTGGGCATATTTGGAGGGGTTTGCTGGCAATTCTATTGGTTTCTTTGGAAACCTGTGGTCATGTAGGAGTAATTTCCCTCTGGAACATGGTAAATATCCATGGTGTTGATAGCATATTCTTAAAATATGTGGTTTTACTTGGTTACTTAGTGGAGGAATTTTCCTTTGAGCTTGTTCAGCTCTTTTGTAGGTTTTGTTGCTCGTGGCATATCTCTGCCCTAATAGAATTAGATAAAGCTATACAATGATGGTGATAGGGTTGTTATTTTTCACATTCCAATATCTAATTTATTTCATGTTATTGGGAAACCTTATTACTGAGGATAAGTTGCCTGGGCTTATCTAACTTTATGCATTCCTTTTTTTTCTGTAATTTTAACCTTTATTTTGTTTATATGGTTTTGAGCAGACTCTATTCTGTTTCCTGAAGTACCAATTGCACTACGATTGTCCAGTCATCTTCTTCTTGGAGTGGTTAGGATATATTCTAGAAAGGTGAATTACCTTTTTGATGATTGCAGTGAAGCTTTGCTTAAGATAAAGCAGGCGTTTCGCTCCACTGCAGTTGATTTACCACCGGAAGAATCAACTGCGCCCTACCATTCAATCACTTTGCCCGAGACTTTTGATCTTGATGACTTTGAGCTCCCTGATAATGAGATTTTTCAGGGGTTAGTTCCGAAATTGTACCTTTTAGATTGCCTTTCTTGATGTGTGTGTGTGGCTTTGGTAATATTAGATACAATCAAATCTTTTCATGAGGTATCTTTGGAAGTACTTTATGTTAATTAACATCTAGCTTTCTTGACAGAAACTATGTTGATCATCACATTAGCTCAAGAGAGCAGATTACGCTTCAAGATACCATGGATGGTGTGGTATACTCCACGTCACAATTTGGATTGGATGGTTAGTTTATGCTCTTGACAGTGATGATGGTAGATTTAGTTACATTTGGTTTGCAAAATACTAGTAAATCTAAAATTCTGCATTTCAAATACTTTCAGAGCGGTTTGGAGATGGTGAAACTTCTCAGATTGGTTTGCTTGATGAGGTAATATTGTCATTCTTGCTTTCCTGACATTTGGTGATTAGTTTGTCAAGTAGTCTGTAATCAGCATGAGGCTTACTAGTGTAGGACCTGGAAAGTTAAGAAAGGCTGGTTATAGAGCAAGCATGACTATGTGATTTTATGGCTTACATGGATGAGATTGGTTTTGATGGTTGATTTATGATGGGAGGATTTAAGGTTGAAGTATGCCAAAAAGAAGACCAAATTGATTTGGGTGTTTGTTTGCATCTGTGAATACTACCAGTGAATGGTATCTCAGGTTTAGGGTTGAAATTTGATGTCGAATTGGTTAGGATTTGATTGATGATTTAGGAATAAGAAGATGAAGATTTAGGCTTTACAGCTATATTTCCTATATGTAGGATTCAGTTTACCTTTTCCAATCCAAACAGGGGCATAATAGCTATTGAAATTGTCATAAACTACAATTTCCAGCAAAGCTGAAAATTTTTAAAAAAGTCTTGATACTTTAACCTTAACTGATCATCGCTCTTTACACCAGCGCTGGAGTTAAACTGCACAATCGGGGTTAGAATGTTGCTTCATGTCCATTTAACTTTTATAAAAAATTATTAATTTTCTTGAATATACCCTAATGGAACATGTGACAAACCTCTAACCTTGCTTGTGGGGTTTAAAAACTTCACTGCCAGTGTATAGGATAATTTTTCCAAAGTTACAACTAAAAAAAGAGAGAATATATTGTATCTATTAACATTCTACCTGAAGGAAGTAAGAACAGGACTTAATCATATCAATAATATCAGTTATACTTTAATTGAGTATTATATTTTCTGTTTTCTTAATAGATACACAATTTCAGTTTTTCATGATTTATAATTGACTTTTCTTGAATACCTTGTCATTTAAGCCGTTTTTTCTTTTGATGGCTCATTTTTTGGTTTTTGGGTTGATGACGTGAAAATATTTTGTGCCTTATTGCCTCTTTAAGTAAGTTATGCATGTTTAAACATCTTGGGGTTCCTTGCTCGTCTTCTTTCCATAGCCAAAGAAAAAGGGGGAAAATGAAAGGAAGAGGAGCAGTTGGGTCTTTCTTTGTCTTACTTGAAAATCATTTCTAATGTTTTTCTTTTAGAATACCTTTTGTTCTTATCTAAATCTAGTCATGTTGTAATCTCTTTTGGAATGAAAGTATTATGATATTATTGCATAACATTAGCTACTACTTCTGGAGTTTTGGGGCAATGGGTTAGCTAATTTACTTTTGCTTTAGAAGGGAGACCTTGATGGTCTTAATATTGGAAGAAAGATTGATCTATGCGTGTTTAAAGCTTGCCAGCCAAGATTGTAAGGCTTACCAAAAATGATGAAAAATGAAACTAACGAACTAGAAAAAAAAAGCAACACAGAATAAAATGAGTGGGCTTGTTGCAAAAAATAATTGTGACCATGAGAGAGTGGGCTGTTAGGGAGGGAAAACATTAATAAGGAAGAGGGGTAAAATAACAAATGATTTTGTTTAAACTGATAGTGTTGGGAGAATAAATGATGCAATAATATCATCAGAACATAGCATAAATGTATATCCTTACCCTAAGTACAAGTAGAACTGCTTATGGCTTTTTAGGGATGCGCCTGAAGTGGGTCAATTTACTGTGACTATTTCATAGGTGGTTAGAAAATTAAAAACCCTGATCACTTAGTTTTTGAAGTTGAAAAATATGCTTCCAGGATCTTCTGGTCAGCAGAACCTTTAAATTGCTGAATGGATGGTTTCATCCATTGCCCTTCAAATTTGATATCTTTGGGGTTGTGGTATTAAACTTGTCTTCTTTATGAATTGACTGACCCTTTTTATTTTTTCTTGGTGCTCTTTTCCCCTTATGCTAATTGTCTACTGAAAATTCTTGTGTTGGATTAATCTTGAGCAGGAGCTAGTCCTAGAAAGGATTGCAGTGCCAGGACATGATGGAGTTTCAAAGTAAGATGCACAGACACACACACACATATAGCACTCTATTCTTTTTATGATCATGTCATAAATTAAATGCTCATACACAATTTTAACTTATTTTCCCTTTATTCATTTTTGGATAGTGTGGTCGATTGACTCCCCTCATGGATAGATTACAAAACACTGCCAATTGTTAAGCCATCACTAATTTCACTGGTTAACTTATGCAACCATTTTGATAATTTTGGATTTTCTGGCTCACCTTGTTTCCGTCATTTCAGGTATGATCTTCAAGGGTCAGATTTACCTCAAAAACAAAATCCAAGTAATTTAGAAGCTGTGCCAGTGGATTGCAGTGGGGATCAGGTTCGTTGTTTATTCAACATAACAGAAATCTCAATTTCCTTTTAATTTGATTTTGTCCATCTTGTATAAACATTTCATATTCTAGCCATTTTATTGTCTGACTTGCCTTGCTAAATATGTTTTGCTTGCTGTTAGGTTGATGCTATAGCTGCAAATTCTGAATTTGTCAAGTTCGATCAGGAACTAGTTGTTCCTAGATTAGCGGAAGTGCCTAACTTGTCTTGTGTTCATGAGGCACTGGCTGGTAGTGATCATGTGGAACCAGAACATCACAATCTTAAAGAATTGGACAATTCTGAGTACACATCTGCTGTTGCAATTATCAGAGGACCTGATGGTTTGGATAGGGTGGAAGATATGCATAATGGCGTTATGCACTCAATGGATAGAACTGATGGGGAATGTGCAGAATCTCCTAGCTGCTCCAACATCACCTTTGATTTGGACGACCCTTCTCGAAGAACATGTTCAAGTAGCACCTGTGTGCCCACATCAGATGGCTATTTGGAGAATGATCAATTATCACATAAATCTGAAATTGGCAACTATGCTGACACCACTGATAATTTGGATGAGTCATCCTCACCTGCCAAAGCAGTAGCTTCAAATCCATCATGCCCATTGGTATCGCCCAGTAGAATAACAGTTATTGATGGTGAAGCTCAAGCTTGTCAGGAACCAAACGATTCTGAAAATCTTAAAAAACCTATTATTCATGAAGATGTCTCATCTGTTCTAGTTCTTGAAAGTGATAATTTGGCTGCTGCAGAGCACAACTTGGTGGAATTGTCCATAAGGGAGGAAGTTCATGCTTGTGGAGCTTCCATTGAGGTGCAAGGTTTGTTTTACATCTTTTATGCCTGTAGTCTTAGATTAGTGATTAAAAATATATATGACCACATGTTTTTTTTTACCATAATTTCATGTCAGATTGTTTCTTATTAACTACAATATTTGCAGGTGAGGCCTGCCAAACTCGGATGTCAGAACCTGGGTTATGTGATGACCAGTTGGAAAATTCAAATATTTGTGCTATGTCTGACTTGCCTGCTCCTGAAAAGTTACTGTCTGTACCAGAAGGACCTCTTGATAAACCAAGTGATATACTGGGTGAGTCTACCTCAGACAAAGAGGTCCTAACAGGAAATGATGAAATTGATGCTGGAACGAAACTCATTTCAGGAAAAAAGCGAAGTATAACTGAGAGTACACTAACTATAGAGAGTATAAACTCAGTTGAATCATTTGGAAGGCCTCAATCCAGGACTGCAGAATCAGTTCCTGATGATGATGACTTGTTGTCTTCTATTTTAGGTAGCATCACTTTTAACTCTAAATGAATTATTATCTGCCTTCTATGAATTTACTAGAACAGCATGGATTGTGAGGCTATTCTTATGAAGAATAATTTTATGATTGAATTTAGTTTTTATTGCTTCAGTTGGAAGATCTTCAGTTTTCAAAATGAAAGCAACTCCTCCACCTGAAGTAGCACCAATGAAACGTGCACGATCTGCACCTAGACCTAGTGCCACTAAGAGAAAAGTGCTTATGGATGATACCATGGTCTTACATGGCGAGTATGTTACTAATATGTTTTAATTGCTCCTTTTTCATTTCTTTATCTTACTAGTTGTTTTTTTTTTTTTTTTTATGATTGTTCTCTTCTCAAATGTATTTGAATTTTGAAAATTATCACCATTATTCTTCTTGCACAGGCAATATAACATGTTGTCTTATTGGAGCTCACCACTGTCTTTGATTTTATAAATTAAAATTGTGTCTATGAAATTCATGCACTTGGAAATTCTGTCCTTTCATGTTTTCTTTTGTAACCTTTGCATCATTTAACCTACATTGAATTGTCAACATTCTCTGAAGCACTTTTTTGTTTTATTTATTTTTTCTGTTGTCAACAAGTTTTACAAGAACGACTTTTTTGCCGGTGGTATTAAACTGTTGATTTCCTGCTGATTTGTGTAGAATATAACAATCTCCTTTGTAGTATGACATGTGGCTTACATTGTAACAACCTGGCTTAAGTTATGATCTATTTGTGTTTCTCTCCAGTCAGCTTGTCACATTATGAAATATTCTTGAATGTTATTTATTCTTATTAATTTAATCTTAGAAGCGTTTTTCTTCTATTTTAAATTATGCATTTTAAATTTTGGCTTGAGTAGTTAAGTACTGATTAATTTGCCTCTTCTGTCAAGTACCATACGTCAACAGTTGGTTAATACTGAAGACATTCGTCGTATACGCAAGAAGGCACCTTGCACTCGCCCTGAAATTTCATTGATTCAGAGACTATTCTTGGAAGATGAAATCTTTAGTGAACCTATATTTACTGGTGAGATCAAATTGCTGAAAATTCTCTATATTTGCATGCATTTGTTGGGTCAATGAAAAAAAGAATGAAGAATTTCAACTTATCGATTAATGACGATGGACCTGAAAATTCAATGTTATGGTTTAGGTGTTGTAAGGCACAGAGTGGGAAAATTGGGAGAATAATGAATTGCTGCATGTAAACCCTACCCCAAATGCTACTCCCCCAAGAGGAGGAAAATTTATTGATACAATTGTAAATATATCTCCGTAAGGCCCTGGTCAATTGGATTTGATTCCATTGAGCAAGGTTATTCTAGATGTTTGTTTAATCTAGGGCATCCTGAGGCCCTAGTGAGAACAAGACGGCCCAACTCTATATGTGTTTTCCTATTAGCTTGTACACTATTACCTCATTTCTGTGGACTTTAACTGGTATTTTTAGATGTGGAGTGCAGTTTTGTGGTATCGATGTCATATGTATGAATGGATACTCAAGTTGTACAATTGTATGGACTACAAGATATATCAATGATCTATCCTAATGGTTGTGCATCTTTTCTTGAATTTATTGTTGTTTGAAATAATTCTGCCTCTGCTAATGGAGGACTTTCTAACATATTGTTTATAAATTTATATGTTGCTAAATGTTTGTGTGCATTTCAGGTATGTCAGGTGACTTGGCATGTTTGCACAGTGAACCTTATGATCTAAGCTGTATCAGAATTTCTGAAGGTGATGAAAACCATGCATCATCTGAAGTAGCTAAGGATTCAGAGTGTTCTGTCAGACCTAATATTGCTAAAGAAGGTAGAATTGAAGGGAGCTCTATGCCTGTGATTCACGGAAATGATGAACAAGCACAATCTGCTGGCACTCCTATTCAGACTGATACCCAGCAGGGTGAATACAATGATCTTAGTATTCAGCTGGATAGATATGCTATTGATGGTGTACCTCAACTTTTGCAACATGAACTTTTAGATGGGATCACTGAAATGGAAATTGACAGAGACAATGTGGAAGTTGCTAATGTAGCAAATCACTCTGTTCTGGACAAGTTCGGGGTATTGTCTCATACTAATCTTGTTACTGGAGATACTAGTAACATGACAGCTGGGGAGATAACCAACAGCATAGATGGTTCCATGTTAAACAATGCAACATGCTTTCCACTTGATCAAAAAATGACTACTCAACCAGGGGAAGATGCTTCTGAATTGGATATGAGAAATGACAAAGGAACTAATCCTACAGGAGTTTTAGAAAGTATTATTGCAGCTGAAACTGAATCAAAAGCAACTGATAAGTTTTTGTCGCAAGAAAGTAAAGCCAGTACATCAGTTGAGGTCAGTATAGCAGACTACTGTGCACCTATTGAAAATGGAACCAATATTCTTGCAACCATACAAACGGGTGAGTCTGTGAATGGTGCTCAAAATGCATACGAAACTGGATATGATAAGGTTGGTGTGGAAGATGAGGCTCAAGTTGAGGGTGCACTCTTGGATCTTGATGAAAAGGACCCGCTCTGTAAGGGTAGTGAAGAATGTAAAATGGATTCTACATATTCAGAAAAGGTTGATATTGTTCTGAAAAATGCTTCATTAAATGATGGAGAAACTCCAACCTTTCAGGAAGTTGATGCAGTCAATGAAGAAATGACCTCTCTTGTGGATAATCAAGCTGTAAGTTATTTATTAACACGCGTAACACCTTTGTGTTGATCTAAAAATATTTAAGTGCACCAACTTTTTCCTAACTTTTGGCGATTTATATACTCGTATGAATTTAATTAATGCTCTAACATTATAGCAGAAAGTCGACGGTAATTAAGATAGCGTATATACATGCATCAATATTGGGTTTTTTCCTTTTTTAAGCAAAATTTTTTTTTCTAAAATATATTTTAATTCCTGTTGAATATTTAACTTTCTTCTATTCTAGAAAGCATGGTGGACATTCTATAAAGTTCTGATATCTCCATTCCTCAACTTCATATTCATGTTTTCTTGATTTGCTATTGTTAAATTAATTTATTATGTTGCTATAAAAATTGTTTTCACATTAGCCTTTCTTAATTTATTTGTCATTAAGAATCCCCTAAATGACTGTTTGACCCTGTGGGGTGCAGGAATTTGAGGATGTTGGAGTTGCAAATGATAAAGGTTTGACCTTATTTCCTTCTGTTTTGCTTTACCTTCTTGAAATTATATTTATTGATTTTTTGAAGGAAATGACTTAAAGAGTCTTTGACTGAATGAATTATACTTTAGATGTAAGATTTTCATTTTAGTTGTGAACAATGTAGGCGGGGTGGACTGTAGTAAGGAGCACATGGAGCTATGGCCTCCCAAAAGTTTCCCCCTGAAAAGAAAAATATTAATAATTTATTGAAAACCTTTCTTTTATATTACTTCCATTTATCCTTAATCAATCTTGACTCTATTGGTTTACTAAATATTTATTTTCTTTGTCTTTCCTTTCAGAATTTCTGAATCTAGATGATGATGAGCTAGGAGAGGATGATGATGATGGTATGCCATGTGATGAAAGTCGTCTTCTTGAAAATAGTGGATGGTCTTCACGTACCAGGTCTGTAAGCTCCTTGTAGTCTATTATTTTAGCATTGTATATTTTTCCCTTTAATTTCAACATTAATTTAGCATTACTTATCAAAATAATTCCTTGTACCTGAATAACTGGAATGAGGCTAGCTCACATCTTGATGTTTGTTCATGCCCTTTCTTTCAGGGCTGTTGCCAAGTATCTCCAGAGTTTGTTCGAGGATGAAGCTGTACATGGACGTAAGTTACTTTCCATGGACAGTCTATTGGCTCATAAAACACGTAAAGAAGCGTCGAGGATGTTTTTTGAAACACTGGTATGCCACTAAACTTGTCTTGAAGTTAGTAACTTTTTAAAGTGTATAACACTATCATCCATACATTAATGAAGAACAGAATGTTTGCAACTAAGAGTACTTTAGCATACAAAACCTTGCAAGTAAATTAAAGTGAAAAACTTCATTTTATCTCTCTTTTCTTATATGAGAAGGCATTACTCGTTTTTTTTAAAAGAGTTAATTACACTTCTGTTACCTGAATTTGAATGTACAAATGGTTACCTGGAGAAATAAAATGTACAAACTGCATTCTGAACTTTCAAATAATGTATCATTTTAATTCAAATTCTAATATTATTAACTCGCTTATATGGTATTTAACCAATATAATTTTATTATAAGCATGTTATTAGTTAAATAAAAATGTTAAATATTTTGTTAAAACCTTCATGTGGATGTCACATGATAAAAAATAATTAACTGATCCTAAACAATTTTTATGGATCAGGCAAAAAATATGTATGATTTATGTTGAAAAAAGATGTTAATAGTATGTGGTGAATATATAATTTGATAATCTTTGTTAAACGTCGCATGTAAAAGCTGGTATGATTAACGGGATTAAAGTTTGGATTAATATGGTGCATAATTTAAAAGTTCATGGTGCTAATTGTACATTATTTGAAAGTTCAGGTGCAATTTGTACATTTTATTTCTTAGGTACTAATTTGTACATTTTTCAAAGTTTAGGTATCAAAATTATAATTAACTCTTTAAAAAATGAGAAGACATGGGCTTGAAAAGAAAATCCTATTGTTGTATGCTTGTATTCAAGTACACAACTTCTGTACAAGTACTAATACACAAAAATGTTCTCATACAAACACAAAATGCCACTTTTGGAGACTTTCTTTTGACAAATTCGATTGAAGAATATTCTGACATTATTGGGAAACAAAATGATCAATAATTCAATATTAAAGATAAAGAATTAAAATGAACCTTTAAAAAAAAATTGCAAGTAGCGGTCCAATGCAAAATTCATTCTAGTATTTGCACATGAACGAATCGATGTACTTTCTTTAGATTGATACCATTTATCTTAGTATCCATTGTTATGTTAGCTTAGTTTGCTTGAGATAGATGGAAATTGCCATTATATAACTAGGGTGAAGCAAAAATGTTTTCCTGATCTGGTCATGTAATCTTTGTTTGATGCTGTCAGTTTTTTTTTTTTTTTGGTTGCTCTGGTAGGGAGAGATGTAACTTGTTCTCTTTGTTTCTGGGTGTTCGTTGCACCAATCTGCAGGTTCTTAAGACAAGAGACTACATCCATGTAGAACAGGGGAAACCCTTTGACAACATCTGTATACAGCCTCGAACAAAGCTCATGAAGTCAGATTTCTGATCCCTTGCATAGGAAAAGCAGATACAGTGAAAAGTGCCATGTCGTAGTTCAAGTTCTGATGCTCAGCCCACACCGGTAATTATTTTGTTTCAAAATAATGTTTTTTTTTTCCTTTTTTTAAAATTTAAAAATTAGTTGGTGTTTAGCTCATGTAATTGGTAGGTTAACAGTGGGGAGGGAAGGCACATGTCAGTCATCATGTTGATTTTATCGACGACTGTAGGTGGGTAATTATTGTGAATATATATACATATATATGTAAAATATCTCAATTTGCAATTGAAGATGCTAATTTATTTGTTTTGACTGCTGTTTGGCCATTCCTTGATATTCATAAAGGATTTGTTACGAATTGCCTGAATCTGAATTATAAACTCACAGTTTGAGTTGAGGCTGATTAATTGTGGTTGTGGGCAACCAATTCCCCTTGGCCTTCTTGTTGATGTTGTTAACGTTTTATATTAAGTTAGGGACAGTGTGAATCTGCAATACATATAGCAAGTCGTCCCATTGTCACAATGGAGAGCTTTGAATCTCGCATTGATATATTTGTTTAATACTATTTTGTTAAATAATAGCTATATTTTTATAAGTATTAATTTTTAAATGTTAAATATTTTGAACTATTTTGTATTTTTAATGCTTAAAATCTAATTTTATTTTAGTATAGAATAATTTGTCAATACTTTGGTTGAATAAAAAACTTTGGAGATTTTAAATGTTGGTAAACATTAACAAATTCATTAAAATTGAAAATAAAGGAACTAAAATTATTGGAAATATGAAAGTTTACAAGCATAAACACGAATTAGTTATCTCTCTAGAGATTAAAACCACAGATGATGAACGAGACGGAAAGTTCCAATAATCTAAAATGCTTCAGCCCTTTGGAAGCTACGAAGGTCTAGCAATGTTGAAAGTTTTGGAAATTAAATCTTACATTCTCCAATTACTTGAAATATTTACGAGTTCAATGTAAGCACATCAAAATGCATAACCAAAATAATTATAACAACATTTGTATTTGGAGTTCATGGCTACTCTCCCATTGGAGTTCATGGCTACTCTCCCAACATACTTTTAAACATGCAAAACAAAAAGTGACTCATCAAACCATTGGTGCAAAAGTATGACAGTCTATACATTAAAATTTTCATATATACAGAATCTTATGAGTGCTTCTTTTTGTAAAGCACATTTGCAAAAGGAAAATGAAAAAGATATTTGATATTTTTAATAAAAAAATATACTTCTTTTTTTGTTTTTGAAATAATATGGAATTTAAAAAAAATGATTTTTAAAATTTTAATTTAATTTTAAATTCTAGAAATATATTTTCTATTAAAAGCCAAAAAATATTACGATAAAAAAAAAATATAATTTTAAATTTAATACTTTTAAAATATATTTAAATTATGAAAACAAGATAATAGTATCTGACAATCCCTAAATTTTGAACAATATTTTATTTTGTTCTTTTTCATCTATCAAATGAAATATTAGCTAATGTCATTCATGTGCTATTCATATCATGCAAATTAGCATTTATTGTTAATTAAATGGTCTCATAGAAGGAATGATTAATATAAGATAATTTTAGATAATTAAAAATTTAATTAAAAAATTTTAAAGATTAAAAATTAAAATATAATTTAAGTATACTGATCACAGGTGCTATTAACTCATATTAAAATTATCCTAAAAAATAATGTATCATGTACCATAAGTAGCATAACAGTGATTTCATAGTCATATATGAAATAGAAGCTTTAGTATCTTTTCCTTGATGGTCTCCAAATATTTCCTACAATTACAACTTCTGTAATCTAGCTTTGCATGATGATGGCATTCCCCTTGCCATTGTTTTCTTCACCCCTACCACTTCACTTTAAAGTCTTAGAGGAAGAATTGTGAAAATATAGACATAGAAAAGGGCTATTTATACCTAAAATAAGGGGTGCTCGAATATTATTGCTTCAAGTTTTTAGAATCGGATTTAATATTGACAAAATTGATTTAATCTAATATGGTAGATAAATATTTAATTAAGAATTTACATATTATCAAGTGGGATGTAATGTTGGTTAAATTGATGTAAATTCTCAAAAATAAAATTAATTTACCGTGTTAATTCAAACTTATTAATCAAAATATCCTTATGTAGTGAGTCAATTCTTTGATAAAAGACATTTATGAAATATCCCTAACAAAAACAATCCGATGATTTAAACCGCGTAGACGGAGGTGTACGAACTGACTATACACATGAATTGAATCTTTTCCCAGGGAGTTTGATGGTACGATGGTTTTGTTGTAGGGTTACAGTCTTGACTCCCTTCTAATATCTCTTATAGACAATAATGACCTTTCTAGGGCCATGTTCATAACCTTACTTGAGATGTGTCTTGTGAACGGAGCCCGTGGAATGAAGGAGAATAAAAGGATAGAATTTGCAATAAAGTAAAATTGAAGTGACAACTTGATGTGATGCTACAAAACTAATTAAAGTACGATGGAATTTAATCTTTGAAACTTATGATGATGCAACATTTAGAATGGAGAAGATCATGTTTTCTTTACATCATTGTATGGGGAAACCATACATGTCATCCAGTTGGCCCAGTTGCTTTTGAATGTTTTTGCGTCTTATATCAAGTATCTTGACTTAAAATCATACTTGTTTTCAAACTTTATATCTAAACTTTATCTATATCCTCCAGCTAGGAATCATCAAATTTTAAAAATTGTTTATGTTGTAACTTAAGTAAGGCGTCCCAAGTTAGGGCCTTTAGGCAAATTGCTTTACCACATAAGTAAACTGTTTGTGATTCAACTAGACCAATTGGATTACTGACTGGTCTGATTCAGCCTCGTTGGGAGGCTGCTACAACTTCCTATTTATTTTGAGTTTGAACTTTGAAGTTCAATAGCTATGTTCCTTCCAGGTTGCAGAACACCTCAAGGATAGGCCTTCATGGTTTCGCGATTGCCGAGCTGTGGATGTTCTAAATGTGCTGCCTACTGCCAATGGTGGATGTTTAGATGTGGCTTTGCTTTGTACATTGCTTTTCGAATGTTTGAACAAAAAAAATTTATAGTGAATAGATCCCACATAGTTTAATGGCATAATGTCGTATATTTAAGTTTTATGTTTGTTGTGTTTCTAGCGGTTTATATAATGTCATCTTTATCGTTTACATAATGCCATAGTGCCCATATATGTAAGATTTATGTTTGTATGTGTAAAGTTTGTAAAAATTATGTAAAACATTATTTTTTTTTATCAATAAATGAAAAAATGTTTATTTATTATATTTTTTTCCTTTTTAATATATTTTAAAAGAAAATATTTTCACATAAAATGCTCATTTGGGTATAAAAGCTAAAGGAGATCAATTTCCAGCTAAAAGGGATCTCTTTAAGGAAGGCGATCCATCCTTTTGCATAGAAATCTTGTCGCTACTACTTTTAGTGACAGAAGTTTCTATCGAAAAAACTTGTAGCAATGGAAATGATTTTTGTGTGAAACACTTTTAGCGACGAAAAAGTATTTTCACAGCAAATTATTTGTCCTTAAAAGTTATCCTATTGTTGATGGAATTTTGATTATCAATGGAATTCTGTTAATGATTTCAAAATTTTGGATGAAAAATTATTGATGAAAATTCTGTAGGTAATGTGTTTTAGCGACGAAAATTAGACTTTTAGCTATGGAAATCATTGCTAAAAGTCTGATTTCTTGTAGTATTTGTTGGATATTTCCAGTTTTGCAATTTAAATTCCTTCTAGCATTTGAGCATGTGTCAGGGAAACAAAGGAGAGGAGGGGGAGTAGCTGAGTTGTTGATAAGCATGAGTTGGAGGTGTTGGCGAGGGGACCATGGTTGAGGCGGACTGTTTGGCATTATGTGTTGGGAGTTTAGGTGGCTTGCTTGCGTCACATTTTTTAGCTCCATTTTCACTTCAATTTCAGCCCTTTATGCCACCAATTTTCTCCTAATTCTCATTCTTTCTTGCTAATTTTTCTAGACAATTAATCCAAATTAGATGAATATTTAAATTTAATCACTAAAATTCAAGCAAAACTAATCAAGTACCAAAATTAGTTAAATAAGTACCATGATAATTCTATAAAAATAGAATTATTAAGAAGCAATTGCGTTTAATCTATAATCTTATGCAATAATTTAATTTAAAATTTGATTTTAATTATCTCTGCTCCAATAATAGATGGTTGAAAAATTTTATTTTGTTGGGTGCATACCATTACAAGGTGATTTCAAAATAAGCCTATGTCTTTGTTTCCGAATTTAGCACGTGTTTGAAGAGGTTGCTGACTAACACCCAAGCATAAATCCAAGAGGATGGGTTTGTTGATGATCCTGGAATTAATAATGTTGTGCTTTATGGAAAATAGATAATATTGTAGCTTTCTTCTGCTTAATTTGTATGTTTATTTTAAATGGATTTATTATTAGGATTAAGTTAGTTATGTTTAGCTTTTTGTTTGTATGCTATTATTATTCATACTTATTTATGATATATAGAGAGTTTATAATCACTTTATTTTTCTGAGGTTTTTTGCAAATTTTATGTTGGTTTTTACGGACGTAGGCCATAGATATATATAATACTTGAAAAGAAGCTAAATTGCAAGTTTTAGATTGTCTTGGTACCCACAACAAGATAGATGTATAAGGATCGAAGGGATGCTGAAGCTGCATTTGTAGAGGACTGGAACCTAAATGAGCCGAATATTAACAAGTATCTCAAAAATATTCAAATGATCTCGTTAACAACCATGCAGCTCATTGATGCAAGATGATAAGTAGTTAAGTTAGTTAGTAAGCCCATTTTATGAGTCTAGTAGTCAAAAGGTGCATCAGAGCCAATGCTTATTCAGCTTGTTAAGTCCATTGTGGTATTTTCTTGTTTTCTATCATATTTTAATGGAAGTCATCATGTGGGGAGCTGTAATTCTGAGATTCACGGAGGGGAGGAGCGCATATAGCATTACAAGAATGCATTGTAACGACAGGCTATGAATTAGGAAAATTCCTTTCTCTTTGATATTTCTTTATCTTTGGAATTCTCTGGTCTTATTTGTTTCTTATTCTCTGTTCTTTCGTTTTGACTCAACTTGAGTGACCAATTTGGTATCGGAGCGAGGTTCTAGCTTCAATGGTGGACGGTATTACCACTAGATTACAAAAGGAGGTCAATCAATTACAATCTGCAATGCAGTAGCTAAACTATACGGTGGACATGAAGCTGGAGGGAATGCGAACTGAAATAAGGTTGGAGCTTCAAAAGATTCTTGATCGATTGCCACCAGTTTGTGAAGAACATTAATCTGCTGATAAAGAGTCTGGTCAATCCTCTATGGCTCAAGCTTCATCACCAGTTGGATCTTCGATAGCAATTACAGCTTCTCAACCAGAGTTCTACAGAATATTCAATCTTGAATGTCCTAAGTTTAATGGAGATGACTTCAAGGGATGGTTTTTGAAGTTGGAACAGTATTTTGAAGGAGAATGGGTTCCTGAACGGTCTAAAGTAAGGGTTGCTATGCTGAGTTTGGAAGGTAAGGCT